ACCCTGTCCTGACCCTGACCTGACCTGACCCTGTCCTGACCCTGACCTGACCTGACCCTGACCTGACCTGACCTGACCTGACCCTGACCTGACCTGACCTGACCTGACCTGACCCTGACCTACCCTGACCTGACCTGACCCTGACCTGAGGTTTTCTTTCATAAACCCAGTGTTCTGGCCCCGTCATATTCCTGTGGTCTTCTGAACATCTCCAGTCCAGTCAGAGCACTCTGGTCTACCAACCAGTGTCAGATGTTCCTGGAGCTGCTCAGGGTTTGGTAGCTGCTGCTCCACAGCTGTGGACCAGTCTTTGAGTCTTTGAAGACCTTCTTCTTCAGATTTGATCAGGGATGAGTCTGAGGTTCCATCAGAGCTGAAGTTGTGTTGTTATATTTATAGTGTGTTTCTGTATTTTAGTTTAACTTTGTTGTAATGGTTCAGGTTTTGGACTGAACTGGAAGTACTCTGTTGTTCTTCATGTGTTCTACGAGGAAGTTTGACGTTGGTTCTGTTGGGTTTCAGAGCTGTGTAGAACTGGGGAAACGAGCTCCGACTCCCATCAGAGAGAAGGAGGTGACGCTGTGCATGAAGTGCCAGGAGCCGTTCAACTCCATCACCAAGAGACGGCACCACTGCAAGGCCTGCGGACACGTATGTTCATCACAGCAGTCATGATCGTTTCCTGACCCTGACCCTGACCCTGATCCTGACCCTGACCCTGACCCTGATCCTGACCCTGATCCTGACCCTGATCCTGACCACAGGTGGTTTGTGGGAAATGCTCCGAGTTCCGTGCTCGTCTGTCGTACGACAACAACCGGACCAATCGTGTTTGTGTGGACTGCTACGTGACTCTGGTGGGCGCCTCGCCGTCGCCCGGCGGTCTGAGCAGCAGCAGCCAGAGGAGGCGCTCCATTCTGGAGGTCAGTGTGACATCGTCGAGCGTTTCTGCTGTTCGACACTTACTGATTTTCTGTCTGTCTGCCTCCTCGTTGCCTTAGAAACAGGCCTCGCTGGCAGCCGAGAACAGCTTGATCTGTAGTTTTCTTCATCACATGGAGAAAGGAAGTGGGCGGAGCTGGCAGAAAGCCTGGTTTGTCATCCCTGAAAACGAGCCGCTGGTGCTCTACATCTATGGAGCTCCACAGGTGGGTTTCACTGCATCAGCTGGTCAGGGTTCATCATTACCCCACAGAGCTCTGTGGGTCAGAGGTCAGGTTGAAGGTTTGATTCCACCATCATGCAGTCACATGTCCGCTGTCTCCGCCCACACAAGCCTTACCTCTGATACCTGAGGACACTGTACAATGACTTCTTCTGATTAGCTGGGTAGTGGTGTGTGTGTGTGTGTGTGTGTGTGTGTGTGTGTGTGTGTGTGTGTGTGTGTGTGTGTGTGTGTGTGTGTGTGTGTACCTTGTCAGAACCAGTAGTCCTAATGGGGACCAAAGACCGGTCCTAGTATGGTGGAAGTCCATATTTGGGTTTAGGCTAATATGTCACAGTTTAGCTGTAGAAACCACTGGAAATGAATGGAATTCAATGAACAGTCCTAATAAAGGTAGAAACACAAACATGTGTGCATGTGTGAGAAAATGACTGAAAAACCTTGAGAGGACCAATCAGAACACAGTTTGGTTGTTTTTGTTTATCACAGGACGTGAAGGCACAGCGAAGCATGCCTCTGATTGGCTTCGAGGTCTCTCTACCTGAGTCATGTGACCGCCTGGAGCGACGACACGCCTTCAAGATCTCCCAGAGTCACCTGACCCTCTACTTCAGTGCAGAGGGGGAGGAGCTACAGCGCAGGTGGATGGACATCCTGTCCAAAGCTGGGAGAGGGGAGGAGCCTCTGAGCCACCAGCCAATCGTGGAGAGTCTGGAGGAGGAGGGGGAGGAGCTTGCTGATGAGGCAGAAGGGGACAACACCTGATTCTGATGAAGAACAATGATGATGAAGGCAGAGTCTTAGGAATCAGTCCTGATTGGACGGCAGAACAAATCCAGAACAGATTTAGAACAAATCCTGAACAAAGCCAGGCCTGATCCAGAACCATTTCAGAACCAATGTAAAATGAATCCAGAACCATTCCTGGACAACTCAAGAACCCAAGCTAGACTCAAACAATGAAAACCAGGAAATATTTTTAACAGATCAGAGTGTCCTTGATTTCTGAAGTGTAAAATGAACTGGACTGCCTTCAACATCAGTTTAACTAACCTCAGTGTTCTTCTGCCTGACCAGAACCAGAACCAGAACCAGTCATCAAAAAGCACATTTAATGAACTGTGACTCCAAAGCTGCTTTTCTGACAAGACCTCCTCAGAACTTTGACTTCCAGGTTCTGGAACTTTCTAGAACGTTGTTCATTAGTTTGTAATGTTATGGCAGTGGGAAACCTTGTAGAGCTCTGACCAACCAATCAGTTGATCTAACAAACCAATCAGTTGATCTAACAAACCAATCAACTGATCTGACCAACCAATCAACTGATCTAACAAACCAATCAACTGATCTAACAAACCAATCAGCTCATCTGACCAACCAATCAGCTGATCTGACTAACCAATTAACTGATCTAACAAACCAATCAACTGATCTAACAAACCAATCAGCTCATCTGACCAACCAATCAGCTGATCTAACAAACCAATCAGCTGATCTGACCAACCAATCAGTTGATCTGACCAACCAATCAACTAATCTAACAAACCAATCAGCTGATCTGACCAACCAATCAGCTGATCTAACAAACCAATCAGCTGATCTAACAAACCAATCAGCTGATCTAACAAACCAATCAGCTGATCTGACTAACCAATCAGCTGATGTAACAAAACAATCAGCTGATCTGACCAACCAATCAGCTGATCTGACCAACCAATCAGCTGATCTGACCAACCAATCAGCTGATCTAACAAACCAATCAGCTGATCTGACTAACCAATCAGCTGATCTGACTAACCAATCAGCTGATGTAACAAAACAATCAGCTGATGTAACAAACCAATCAGCTGATGTAACAAACCAATCAGCTGATGTAACAAACCAATCAGCTGATCTGACCAACCAATCAGCTGATCTGACCAACCAATCAGCTGATCTGACCAACCAATCAGCTGATCTGACCAACCAATCAACTGATCTGATAAACCAATCAGCTGATCTAACAAACCAATCAGCTGATCTGACCAACCAATCAGCTGATCTGACCAACCAATCAGCTGATCTGACCAACCAATCAGCTGATCTGACAAACCAATCAACTGATCTGATAAACCAATCAGCTGATCTGACCAACCAATCAGCTGATCTGACCAACCAATCAGCTGAGGACAAGAAAAGAGCAGCAGGTGTTTTCCTCCACCCTAGAAGGAGAACTTCAGTTTGTGATGGACTGCTTTTGGACATCTTCTGGACAAGAACTGATTTCCTGTCTGCCTCAGGGTTCCCTCAACCAATCACTAACGCTCAGATCTGCAGGCCCCGCCTTAACAACGTCTGACCCTTGGAAGAGAAACTGTTAGTTCAGACCAGAACCCCCACTGGAGTCTTTGATCTCAACAAAACTTCCTCTGGGGGAACTCAGGTCAGCAAGCCTGAATCCAAGTCCAACATCAGGAGTCTACAGAACTGCCGTCCCAAAACACACATGTTCAGAGGAACAGCTGGGTGCTCCAGCTGCAGGTCTTACAGAAACACTGTTGATAACAATCAAAGAAGAAACAAACCAACCCAGTCAAAGAACCAGTTTGGAGGGACTGCCTGTGGTCACAGATTCTGTTCATAGACGTTCTGAACAGAAGTGCTCAGAGCAGCCAGGGGGCAGAAGGGGTCCAGTTCTGTGGCCTCAGGATCAGGTCTCTATCTGTGAATAATATGGTTCTGTTGGTGTCATTGGGCCATGATGCCATTCACAGATTAGCACCTCCAAATCTGAGGCCATGGTCCTCACACAGAAATGGGTGTGCTGTGGGCTTTGTTCACAGTGAGGGAAGAATGAAGGCTGATATCTACAGGTGCAGATTCTGCAGGACTGTGGTCTACGTCGGTCTACATTCCTACCCTCACCTGTGGTCAGAAGGTGGCTGAGGAAAGAGGGGTCTGAACATGGATGGATGATAGATGAGTGGATGATTGATGGATGAATGATGGATATGAATTCTTACATGTGCCCTGTTGATAGAGCAGTACCCTACATTACCCAATGGACTGTTTGGTGGATGCCACCATCTTTGCTCAGTTCAAAGCATCATGGTCCAGTTTAGGAGGATCTGGTGTCAGTGTGTGACCTGAATGAGGGTGGAAACGAGTCGTAGAGATCACTGTGCTGCAGTTCTGTGCATCAGTGATCAAACAAGTTACAAACAAGTTAGAATATATGGAATAATGAAAACTTCAGGTTGTCACACCGAGGACTGGTGTTATTAAAGTACTGGTCTAGTATTATAGTGCAAGTCTAGTATTATAGTACAAGTCTAGTATTATAGTACAGAGCTAGTAATATAGTACTGGTCTAGTAATATAGTATGGGTCTAGTATTATAGTACAGAGCTAGTAATATAGTACTGGTCTAGTATTATAGTATGGGTCTAGTATTATAGTACAGAGCTAGTAATATAGTACTGGTCTAGTATTATAGTATGGGTCTAGTATTATAGTAAATAGTAAATGGACTGTACTTATATAGCGCCTTTCTATCCATCCAGGACACTCAAAGCTCTTCACACTACAGACATTCACCCATTCACACTCACATTCACACACTGATGATGGTAAGCTACATTGTAGCCACAGCTGCCCTGGGGCACACTGACAGAGGCGAGGCTGCCATGCATCAACACCACCGGAAACCTCAGACCACCATCAGTAGGCAAGGCGGGTGAAGTGTCTTGCCCATTGACACATGAGGCGGCTGGAAGAGGGGANTCACCCATTCACACACTGATGATGGTAAGCTACATTGTAGCCACAGCTGCCCTGGGGCACACTGACAGAGGCGAGGCTGCCATACACAGGTGCCACCGGACCTTCAGACCACCATCAGTAGGCAAGGTGGGTGAAGTGTCTTGCCCAAGGACACAACGGCATGTGGGCATGGTGGGGAGTTGAACCTGTGACTTGCGAGTCCCAAAGCTGGCTGCTCTACCACTACACCACAGCCTCCCCAATACTACAGGCCTACAATTATAGTACAGGCTTAGTATTATAGTACAGGTCTAGTATTATAGTATGGGTCTAGTATTATAGTACAGGTCTAGTATTATAGTAT